CTTTCCCAGGCAGGTCGGGGCGACGGGGGCTGTTCCCGGGTCTCGGCGCGGGGAGCGGAGCCGGGCTCCCACCCACCCGCACCCGCAGCCTCTTCCCGGGCCCCGAAAGGGACGCGCTGGGCTCCTATTTTTGACTCGCAAGACCTGACCCCGCGCTAAGGTTGCTAGATGCGTGCATTATTTCCCCCCCCCCCCCCCCCTTCCCTTCCCTTCCCTTCCCTTCCCACTGCTGCAGGATCTTGCTGTTCATATCGAACGTGCTGTGCGTGATTTTGTACAATTAAAGACGCTAATAGGTGAGAAGCCCGAGGTCTCGTTCGCTGCAGCGTTGCGGGGTTGCTCCTCTGCGCCTCAGCCATCGAGTTGTCCCCACTCCGGCCGCAGCATTGTCCCAGCCCCAGCGCATCCCAGGCGCTGCCGGCAGCTCCTGGGGCAGGGGCAGCTGAAGGCAGCCCCAACGCCGGGGGTCTGCGCCCGCCCCCCGGGGCGAGCCCGAGGCCGGCTGGGCTGCTGGCAGAGGTCTGCCTCTCGCACCGATGAAGGCAGAGCAGACACTTGTCTGCTCGCCACAGGCTTTAGCTGGCTTTAGCAATCACATATTTCATGTGGATTCATTATGTGTCCTGACAGTTTTAGAAGGTGTTTGCAAAGTTTGACAGCAGTTTATCAATGGTGAAATGACTGGATTTAAATAAAAATAGCGCTCTCTCTATTTTTTTTTTTAACACTGAGGCATTTGGCTTGTCAGCTTGTTCTGTTCCATTCAAGCACTGTGCAAATAGAGAGATTTTCTGTATTATTTTTGTTCCAGAATTGGCATCCGTACTGCCCCTATTGCTTGTTTTCAGTTTCTCTACTCCTCTGTCATCTAAGTAGTTTGGTTGATTAACAACATGAGGGTTAATTATATTTCCTCACTTGGTACACAGGATTGTTACATGCTCGTGGATTTTACACAGTTTCACTGCTATTCATCCAAGTGGGTCCTGTTTCCCACCAGATATATGATTCACCTTGCTAAAGGCGAACAGTGCAAATCTGCTAGAAAAGGAATAATATACGGGGCTTGCCTGAGTGTTCATGTTTCATTTGTGGGATCATAACATCTGCCAAGACTGCTGTAAATTATAAGAGCAGAAATCATGCTCTGGTTTTTTTTGCTTTTGATTAACTCAAGGCATTTGGAAAAAAAAACCCAACGTGTATTTAAGGTATCCCCTTCTGTGCTTAGACACAAATAGTATGTAGACTGAGCGATCATCCAGCCTTATTTTCAGTTGGCTTCCTAGGCAGAGGCTCACGAGCAGCCTCTTCTCCATGGGGCAGCACCAGGACTGCCCCCGGAGTTTGCAGTTGGGCAACAGCGGCCGCTGGCTTCGGGACGAGGGGGGCCAGCATCCGGGGAGCCGGGCATCGCTGCGTGGTTTCCCATGGCCATTTCCCAACACGGGGCCCGATCTGCCTTCATGCAGGAGGGTCCTCCCCTCCGGCGAGTGGCATTGCAGCAGCGCAGGCAGCGCGGTCGTGACTGCCTCCGTGCTGCGGGTCCCGCAGCGCCCCGGGAAAAGCAGCTGGAGGCTGGACTGATCCTGGGGAAGTGATGGCTAGCGCTGGGGAACACGGGTCTGGGGGGGGTCTGTCACGGAGAAATGTCCCGTAACTCTCACACCGCTCT